GACCCCCCCAGGCAGAAGGGGGGGTGTGTGGGGGTCCTGACCCCCCCAGGCAGAAGGGGGGTGCGTGGGGTCCTGAGCCCGTTAGACCAATGGGGGCATGCGGGGGCTTCGGGCTCCTCTAGACTGAAGAGGCTACATGGGGCACATCACCCTAGACCAAAGGAGGGTTCACGGGGGGGCTTGGTCCCTCTAGACCGGGCGGGAGACACAGAAGTCCCCATCTCTCTGGACAAGGGGGAGCGCACGGGGACCCCCTATCCCTCTAAACCAGATCGGGCACGCAGGGGGCTCCATCCACTGGCTCAAGGGGGCATGTGGGCTCCCCAGGGCTCCCAAACTTTTCGACATCATGCCCCCTTTTTGGTTTTTGAAAAACCCTCACGCACACACACATCCCAGCAAAACTTGTTGAGCAAAAAAAATAAAAAGAAAAGAAAAGGAACTAACTGGGGCAGCAAAACTTGATGGGTGGGGGGAGGGTTGGGTTGCCTCATGCCCCCCAGTTTGGGAACCCATGCCCTAGAACAAAGGGGAAGTATGGGGGCCCATAACCCTGTAGACTAAAGGGGTGCACAGAGATCTGCAGCTCTCCTGACCAAGGGAGCACACGCTTGTTCATCCTGCCTGGGCTCAGGGTGGCAGTAAAGGGTTCCCCATCTCTCTCGGGCTCTGGTTAGCACAGGGTGTGGGAAGAGACCCAAGCCCCCGCAGGCTGCTTCCTTTTCAGATTCGGGAGCCAGCGTGGATGAAGAGCGAAAGGGGACCTCGCTTTAACTGCTCCTAAATCCGTCTCCCAGCTCAGTCACTCATTCCGTAGCTAATTATTCTAAGGCTCATTTGGGGCTGCCTCCTGTCGCACGGGGAGCAGGGTGGGGAGCTGTGTTCCCTGCCGCATTTATTATCCTGGCCACATCTTCTGGTGCAGCCTAGTGCTCGGATGAGCTGAATGATATTTTACAGCTTCTGGTGACTGGCTATATTGAGCTGTATTCAGTACCTGTCTTGACAGAGGCCCGGGGACTGGCCCCAAAGGCAATTCAGGCCTTGAAGGCCCAGATTACAACATTCCTTGCTACGGCTCAACTTTCTGTGCAATTTTGTTTCATTCCTGTCTTGCCCCGCCTGCTATTTTCCACCTTATGTAGGAAAAATGTGATGCAAACTTTACACTCAGGTCTTGCCTTGTGAAACCCCACGTGGTTTTTTCTGCCCCACTAATCCCATCTCTGCACCCTGTCCTTCAGCAGTATCCCAGAAGACTGGCCATCTGTCCTATTCCAACGAAACAAGAATGCCCATTTATTCCCAAGGTTTTAGGACAGATGTTGGCACCTGCTATAACAAATGGGGAGATAAAAACTGAACTGCACTCATGCAGCACACTCGTCTTTACCCTTCAACATTCTGTGTTTAGGCTGAATATAAAGTAAATTGGAGTATTTTGTGGTGAGCTAGGAGAGCAGTAGTAAGGAGGTGGGGCCCTTGTGTGATATGTTTTATCCTGGAGAGGAAGGATTTTCTTCTGGTTAAAATACTGGGCTGGCTGTCAGAAGATCTGCTTTCAATTTCTGGCTCCTTCACAGAATCTCGGTGATACCTTGGCCAAATCACTTATGCCTGGATTCGCTAAAGAGAAACCCTGTCTTGTTGTCATCTGACCATTTTATAAGCCTACATTCCACTCATAAAAGTCATTATTGAGTTGCATTAGACCTAGTTCTGACCTCTATAGAGCCCCACTTTGGTTCCGTCCCCCAGTTTGACATCAAACAGCTGACCTACTTTTGGAATACAGTCTTTCAAACAGATGTGCACTCCCATAATGATAGTGTCATCAAGGGTAGGTCTAGACTGGCAGGTTTTTCCGGGATACCGGAGGCATCCCAGAGAAACACCGCTGCGTCCAGGAAACGTGTCCGCTTTTTTTTTTTACGGCAGAGAAAACGTGCTCTTTCGGGGAGCCCTGAATACCTTGTTCTATGAGGAAAAAGGGCTCCACCTAAAGAGGAGGCTTTTCCACCATTTGGCCCGTCTAGCTGGGGCCAAATAACAGAAAAGCCTCTTCCGGAAAAGCAATCGAAAAAAGCTATGCAAATTGTGTAGTCTAGATCTAGCCTTAGACCACATTTCCCTAGTTTGCTTATGAGCATTTGAAGTAGCACTGTGTCAAAAATCCCTAAGTAAAACCCAGATATATCGCATCTAAAGCTTTCTGCCATGCACTAGGCCAGGAACTCTGTGAAAGAGGGAAGTTAGGTTAGTTTGCTATGATTTGATCTCGATTACTATGCTGGCTATTCTGTATGACCCAGTTATGCTTACAAATTGGGTGTCTTAATAATTTGTTCTAGTGGCTTTCCAGGCATTTCAAGTTAGCCTGACTGGTCTATGTAATTCCCCAGGTCCACTTTGTTCCCTTTGTAAAGGTAGGTGCCTTTCTCCTTTTTCGGGGACATCACCATTCCTCCATGAGTTCATGATAATATTTCCTAACAGCAACGAGCAATCAAGGGTGTGCTGTAACCATCCATTGGTTTACATTTCTGGGGGTGGTTATGTAGGTAGGAAGGAAACATAGGTGTTTTTAACATGATAATATATGTGTTAAAAAACATTGCCAGAGACTGATCCAGAGTTACTGTTTCACTCAAGGGTACACTTAAATGTGTCTATTAGTCTGTCCAGTGTGTATTGGTTTGAGAGAGATTTCATCTATGCAGAATGTGGAAAACTAGTAAAAACATTCTGTTAAGTCCACAATATAAAGAAACAGACAAAGGCCGTTTAACTCATGAATGAGTGACTGGAGAGAATTATGGGCAAACTGGCCGTTTAAAATGGGTTAGAAAGGAATTATGTAGATAGCCAATTGTGCATCCCCACTCCACCGAATAGCTGAAAAAACTATCCCTGAAGCCCCCTTCCTCCATATTCCTCAATCTTTTGGGGTTGCAAAGGATTGTGGGTTCTGAGTCATAGGAATAAGTAATGTGAGGTGTTTGGGATACAGCTAGCTGGATGAGTAAGCAGGGGTGAGCTGCAATTTTTGCTGCTTATGCTAAATTGTGCATGTTTTATTGTCCTCTTACCTGCTGCATTAAAAGATTGATGTGCACTTCGAGAGCTACTGATCGGAGTTATATAAGAGTAGGTATTTTTACTTCCTTATTTATCATCCACCTGTTGCTTTCTGTGATGCACATAGTCTGTGTGATCTTTGGGGGAGAGACTCCATTCTTGTCGGCAACGCACATCACACAATGGGGCCCGTCAGTGTATTTGTAATCCAAATAAAGAGGTATGCCAGGGCTGGGTATAGGATCACTTCTGGGTAGTTCGGACAGGCCTGGTATAGATTGCTTGCCATTAATGTGCTGTTCTATCTGACCACCTACAATGCACCATCACTGAAAAGTTGCCCCTGAAATTGGGTGTGCTTTCTACGTGTGTGTGTGTGTGTGTGTGTGTGTTGAAAGAAAAATCTGTAATGTTTTAAAATGTAGTTTTGTTTTATTGAGTTTCTTTCACACAAAGTACCCAGAAAATGCTTTAATTTAACCACTAAGTCACAGAGGGAGGGGGGAAAACTCACTAGAATCAGAGGGCAAAGGAGAACAGGTCTCAGATGAGATCTGAAGCTAGATAGAGAATTGACAAGGAAATGCTGGGAGGCGGTTCCGCGTGGCAAGAGCTCATGTCAGCAGTGCTGAAGAGAAAGAAGAGGTTGGGTTCTAGCTGAATTGAGGTGAGGACCAGAGAAGATCTGTGCGGTTCAGTTGAGGGTTTTCAAATAGATGAGCAATTTTGAACTGTGCCCTGACTTGAAGAGGGAGAGGGGTGCTGGCATGTGGAGGACTAGAACCTAAAAGGGAAAGGCAATGCAACAGTCCCAGTGCGGAGGAGATTGTAGGGGTCAAGTGAAATTCTTGCCCGTGTCTGTGCACTCCTGTTTACACATCTGGAAATGGTCCAGCAGAATTTACTCACTGAGCTATTGAAAGGGCTGCTTAATGTTTGTGGTAGGTGGCACTCTTCGGGTGACAAACCCCATATGAGGGCAAAACATTGTTCTTGTTTCAACAGAGGTGGAGCTGAGAGACTGCCAAAGGCAGGGTAGATGAAGCAATGGGCAGACCTTTCAACTGCAGAAGATGTGGCGGGGAGAAGGAACGTTGAGGCCTGGGAAAGATTTTCTTACTTGGAGTGAAATCTTAGAACTTGCCTGCCACTTAGGTAGAGCAGATAGCTTCCAGTCTGCTAATGGGTCTGTTTCCAAGTCCTGGTCTTGAGGGGCCCAGCTGGGCTAGGAAATAATGGCCTAGAGTTAAAACTGGTTAACCAGTTCAACGATATAATTTTAATCATTTAACCGGTTAGCCATGGTGGGCTGGAGTTAAAACTGGTTAACCAGTTCAATGATATAATTTTAATCATTTAACCAGTTAACCATGGTGGGCTTAGCCTGCAGTGGGCAGCGGGCTTCTTCAGCACAGCCCTCTGTAGGCAGAGGGGGATGCTGCAAGCTGCAGCCCAGTTGCTGGTTAACTGGTTACCCGGTAAGCATCAGCTGGTAAGTATCATCCAAAAGGGCAACCCGTTAATCCTTTACATCCCTAGCCAGTCTCCCCTTCTCACCTGCTGCCCCAAACCGATTTTTGTGGTGGGCAACAAGAGGGCCATATATGGACCATCCTCATTTTCACTTTACCTCAGAGAAGTACATCTTTTAGCCCCTGGATAGTAAAGCAGGGAGCCATACTCTCAGCAGGTATAAATTAACCTTGCACTATTGACTTTAGTGAAGCTGTGCTGATTTATACCAGCCAAAGTATGGAAATGAGGCTAATGGGAGAGCTTCACATCTTCCCCCAACACATGCACGTACAACTGAATTTTCTGAATAATGCAGAAGTCAAGTGTCTATCTAAAAGATATTCCATTTAACCCCAAATGGATTTTTTAACTCATTCATTCAGATGTTGACATTTACATGCACTTCTTTTTTTATACTTTTAGTTTAAAAGAGGCATTTTTCTGTTCCGTAAAAAACACTTTTCATAGTAATCTGGCTACAATACGGCATTACGAGTCTACACACCCCAGAGGAATATGGTTCTAGAAAGCTGCCAAAAGCTGCAAGGGCATTTGCGCATTCCTACCTATTAACACACTCAGTTAAAAATAAAATAATCCAAATGAAGACTGAGGCCCCAGGTAAATCCATACTGGATTTAATTCACCTACTTTCATTGCAATGGTACTGTATTCACACCACCATGGAAACACTGCATAAAACTAGTAGTGCACATCTGCTTCCATTGGGGGTTACCCAATCAATGTGTCATGTGAATGAATGATCACTTAAAAACTTCAGAAAACAAGCTTGCCAATCCTGTCCTATAAAGTGAGGTGTTTTATTTTACTGTTCCACTTGCATTTTCACCTTACAAGTACAAAGACGAGAACCCTGAACTTCTCTTTCACTCTCTGCACGTCATCTACTCTTCAGCTGGAGCACAACCAAACAGAACTTATTGAGAGGGGAAGAACACATGGGTGAGTTTTCCCGGTGCTGTGACTTGCAGAAGCAAAGCACAGAACTTGCATCCTCAGGGAGAACGCCTAAGGGCACTTCAAGTCACCTTTGAGTTTGCCAAATTTCCCGATGTCAGACAGCTCCTAGAAATAGCCTCCAGGATTGGTGTGTGTGTGTGTGTGTGTGTGTGTTGAAAGAAAAATCTGTAATGTTTTAAAATGTAGTTTTGTTTTATTGAGTTTCTTTCACACAAAGTACCCAGAAAATGCTTTAATTTAACCACTAAGTCACAGAGGGAGGGGGGAAAACTCACTAGAATCAGAGGGCAAAGGAGAACAGGTCTCAGATGAGATCTGAAGCTAGATAGAGAATTGACAAGGAAATGCTGGGAGGCAGTTCCGCGTGGCAAGAGCTCATGTCAGCAGTGCTGAAGAGAAAGAAGAGGTTGGGTTCTAGCTGAATTGAGGTGAGGACCAGAGAAGATCTGTGCGGTTCAGTTGAGGGTTTTCAAATAGATGAGCAATTTTGAACTGTGCCCTGACTTGAAGAGGGAGAGGGGTGCTGGCATGTGGAGGACTAGAACCTAAAAGGGAAAGGCAATGCAACAGTCCCAGTGCGGAGGAGATTGTAGGGGTCAAGTGAAATTCTTGCCCGTGTCTGTGCACTCCTGTTTACACATCTGGAAATGGTCCAGCAGAATTTACTCACTGAGCTATTGAAAGGGCTGCTTAATGTTTGTGGTAGGTGGCACTCTTCGGGTGACAAACCCCATATGAGGGCAAAACATTGTTCTTGTTTCAACAGAGGTGGAGCTGAGAGACTGCCAAAGGCAGGGTAGATGAAGCAATGGGCAGACCTTTCAACTGCAGAAGATGTGGCGGGGAGAAGGAACGTTGAGGCCTGGGAAAGATTTTCTTACTTGGAGTGAAATCTTAGAACTTGCCTGCCACTTAGGTAGAGCAGATAGCTTCCAGTCTGCTAATGGGTCTGTTTCCAAGTCCTGGTCTTGAGGGGCCCAGCTGGGCTAGGAAATAATGGCCTAGAGTTAAAACTGGTTAACCAGTTCAACGATATAATTTTAATCATTTAACCGGTTAGCCATGGTGGGCTGCAGTCCTGTGTCGGGGGCTGCTCCAGGCAGGGACCTCTGTGGCCAGGGTGGCTGGGGGCTCTTCCAGCCCACCTCTCCATGGGTAGGGCTGCTCCACCCAATCAGTACACTGGTTAACCTTTTACCTAGAGGAGCAACCTTTGTAGCATATCTCCCCACAACAGGTCGGACTGATGAGGTTGCTTCAGCTGCCTTTCCCCATAGGCTGCTTTCTCAGTTTTGGGCCAGCACCGGGAGTTCATCCCCTTCAGGGTGCTCTGCAGAACCCACTTCTTTCAGACAGGCCTTCTCCAGTCAGGCATAGAGAGGGTTCCCTGGCAGTAGGTTCCAGACTTGGGAGGCGAGAGAGCTTTGTGCCAAACCTTGCCAATGAGCAACAGTCTAACGTGGGGTAATTCACATCACCCCTTTATTGCTCAGAGTCCCCATCTGAAACACAGAGTTTATGATGCTGGCTCCCTTTTGGGAAGCGATTGGAGATGTGAGGAGGCTTCAGCCTGTTGTATTATAGCCTACTGCCTGCAGTGGTTCCTTACTCAAGTAAAATGGCTGTGTCTGAGGCAGGGGAAGAGAGAAAACGGCAGCCCTAATAGGATTTGCTGCATGCTCAGCTGCTATGGCGGCAGGTGTCTTCAACATAATTTGTTACAACAAGCAGCAGCAGGCAGTACTAATTTCTATGGAGGAGTTAGAGCAATTTAGGGGTAAGTCTGGAAATGCTGCAATGCAGCTAATTGGCTGTGCATGTGACTAGATTAACTTATCTTTCTCTGTCTCCTTGCCCTGGTGAAGGATGATGGCCTCCATTCCCCTCCGGGTGACCTGCGGTCTGATCGCCTGGCTGTCTCTCTACACCTGGTTCTGCCATAAGTATAAGCACCGTACCTATGAATGGAGCTGCCGCCTGGTCACTCTGACCCACGGTGTCCTCGCCACCTGCCTTTCTGCTTACGTTGGTTTCATCGATGGCCCCTGGCCTTTGACTCACCCAGGTGTGTTATGGGAGTCCTCCCTCCCCCCCCCAGCAGGCAGAAAGCGGGGTCTTCTGAGTAACAGGAGCTCACCTCTTTTCCTCATGAGAGCTTGCTGGCTGTTTCCTTCTTGGGCTCCAACTCCAGTCAAAATGAAGTTGGTGCTGGAAGGGGAGGAAGCTAGATCCCTGTCATTAGTGCTCCCCTTGTCACCTTCTGGTCTCAGCTTAAGTCTCTTTATACCCTGCTCCTTCTGGAATGGCTTCATTCAGATCCGCTTCTCTCGCCTGCCCCTCTATCAGCTAACTCTTCCGTGATTGCAACATAGCCATGCTCTTTGCTGGGCATTTTGAACTCAGGGTATGGATGCACCAAATGCAGAGTGAAGTAAGTAGTTGCTAGTTCTATGGCAGCCTCTGGGGGCAAGTTCAGCAAGTAGCCGGTGTACAGTACTTGTGAAATGAGTGATATGGCAAAGTAAGGATGTTAAAATGTGGTTAATTGACTAGTCGACTAGTTGATGGAATTTCCGTCGACTAGTCGATAGGCACGTCCACATTCCTCTTCTTCCTCCTCCAGCAGGGGCTCTTTTGCATTTCAAAGGAGGGGTGCGGAACTCTGCAAACAGCCGGAGGTCAATGGGAAGTCCCGCTGACTCCGGGCTGCACACGGTCTGCCTGCTTTGAAATGCACAAGGTTAATTGACTAGTCGACTAGTTGATGGAATTTCCGTCGACTAGTCGATAGGCACGTCCACATTCCTCTTCTTCCTCCTCCAGCAGGGGCTCTTTTGCATTTCAAAGGAGGGGTGCGGAACTCTGCAAACAGCCGGAGGTCAATGGGAAGTCCCGCTGACTCCGGGCTGCACACGGTCTGCCTGCTTTGAAATGCACAAGAGTCCCCAGCATTTCAAAGCTGACCCCAGGCTCCATGCTGTGTGTGTGTGTGTGTGTGTGTGTGTTGAAAGAAAAATCTGTAATGTTTTAAAATGTAGTTTTGTTTTATTGAGTTTCTTTCACACAAAGTACCCAGAAAATGCTTTAATTTAACCACTAAGTCACAGAGGGAGGGGGGAAAACTCACTAGAATCAGAGGGCAAAGGAGAACAGGTCTCAGATGAGATCTGAAGCTAGATAGAGAATTGACAAGGAAATGCTGGGAGGCAGTTCCGCGTGGCAAGAGCTCATGTCAGCAGTGCTGAAGAGAAAGAAGAGGTTGGGTTCTAGCTGAATTGAGGTGAGGACCAGAGAAGATCTGTGCGGTTCAGTTGAGGGTTTTCAAATAGATGAGCAATTTTGAACTGTGCCCTGACTTGAAGAGGGAGAGGGGTGCTGGCATGTGGAGGACTAGAACCTAAAAGGGAAAGGCAATGCAACAGTCCCAGTGCGGAGGAGATTGTAGGGGTCAAGTGAAATTCTTGCCCGTGTCTGTGCACTCCTGTTTACACATCTGGAAATGGTCCAGCAGAATTTACTCACTGAGCTATTGAAAGGGCTGCTTAATGTTTGTGGTAGGTGGCACTCTTCGGGTGACAAACCCCATATGAGGGCAAAACATTGTTCTTGTTTCAACAGAGGTGGAGCTGAGAGACTGCCAAAGGCAGGGTAGATGAAGCAATGGGCAGACCTTTCAACTGCAGAAGATGTGGCGGGGAGAAGGAACGTTGAGGCCTGGGAAAGATTTTCTTACTTGGAGTGAAATCTTAGAACTTGCCTGCCACTTAGGTAGAGCAGATAGCTTCCAGTCTGCTAATGGGTCTGTTTCCAAGTCCTGGTCTTGAGGGGCCCAGCTGGGCTAGGAAATAATGGCCTAGAGTTAAAACTGGTTAACCAGTTCAACGATATAATTTTAATCATTTAACCGGTTAGCCATGGTGGGCTGCAGTCCTGTGTCGGGGGCTGCTCCAGGCAGGGACCTCTGTGGCCAGGGTGGCTGGGGGCTCTTCCAGCCCACCTCTCCATGGGTAGGGCTGCTCCACCCAATCAGTACACTGGTTAACCTTTTACCTAGAGGAGCAACCTTTGTAGCATATCTCCCCACAACAGGTCGGACTGATGAGGTTGCTTCAGCTGCCTTTCCCCATAGGCTGCTTTCTCAGTTTTGGGCCAGCACCGGGAGTTCATCCCCTTCAGGGTTCTCTGCAGAACCCACTTCTTTCAGACAGGCCTTCTCCAGTCAGGCATAGAGAGGGTTCCCTGGCAGTAGGTTCCAGACTTGGGAGGCGAGAGAGCTTTGTGCCAAACCTTGCCAATGAGCAACAGTCTAACGTGGGGTAATTCACATCACCCCTTTATTGCTCAGAGTCCCCATCTGAAACACAGAGTTTATGATGCTGACTTCCTTTTGGGAAGCGATTGGAGATCTGAGGAGGCTGCAGCCTGTTGTATTATAGCCTACTGCCTGCAGTGGTTCCTTACTCAAGTAAAATGGCTCTGTCTGAGGCAGGGGAAGAGAGAAAACAGCAGCCCTAATAGGATTTGCTGCATGCTCAGCTGCTATGGCGGCAGGTGTCTTCAACATAATTTGTTACAACAAGCAGCAGCAGGCAGTACTAATTTCTATGGAGGAGTTAGAGCAATATGTGTAGGCGTAGCTTCATGCACTGGGGTGTGCCACAGCATGTGCCTCCCCTGTTCAGAGGCCACCGGCAGTCAGTGCAGGCTGATGTCGTTCTTAAGGCTGCCCTGACTTCTGCTTTTTCTTCAAAGGACCGTGTGGGATTTTTTGCAGAGGTGCAGAATAATGGAGGCATAAGATCCTAGCCTCGAACAATCCTGTGCCTGTGGAGGTAGCAGAGAGCTATTAGCCTTGTGCTGGCCATAGGAGACATTTCCAGGGTGGAGGGAGTCCGTGTTGCTTCCCAGCAACCTCTTTCTACCACTAGGACTTAGGTAAAAAGGCGTTAGCACTGCGAGGAATCAGGCCCATATCCAATGTTCCCCCGCTTTTTCCCACCCATGTGCAGAATGCATTTTGTTACATGCACTGAGACACGTGTGGATGTGCACCACCAGTAGAAACATGTGCTTCTGGCTGTGGGCAGTGTGGAAGCTCTGCTAATCAGCTGGGCAGCATTTGAATCTCTCCTGGGTGGCCAGCCAAGCACTCAACTTACATGGAAACCCTTGGGACCCCCAGGTTTGAATCCTGACAGAGTGTTCCCTCTTAAAAGTTGTGGTCCTGTCTGCCGTGCATGTCACATCACCACGGGTGGCAATGGGGAGAAGGGGGGAGTGCTGTCCCTTAGAGAAGGGATTTTCCTCCCCACTCACTGCAGTATTATGTGCCAGTGTCTATTTGGCTTCTGCCTGAACATACCAGGTCCAGCAGGGGCTCTTTTGCATTTCAAAGGAGGGGTGCGGAACTCTGCAAACAGCCGGAGGTCAATGGGAAGTCCCGCTGACTCCGGGCTGCACACGGTCTGCCTGCTTTGAAATGCACAAGCTCCCTGGGCTCCTTTGGGATGGGATGCATTATGCAAGAGTAGAGGCTGTTATTATGACTTTCTCAGCTTTCCCTTGATCAGTGCCAGGCAAAGAGGTCATTGCTGGAAGAGAACCCCATGGCCCTTGCTCTGATCCTGCCTGGCATAGAACCCCCTTTGAAATGCACAGAGGCGGCATTTTAAAGGGGCAGCTGCCGCACAGCTGTGCAGTGCTACCACTTTGAAGTACCCCTTCCCCCCCTTTGCTACCTCTCTCATAGAGGCAGCGGAGGGGGGAGGGATATCGACTAGTCAAAAGACTATCCGATAAGCAAATGATATATTATATTATAAATGATAGTCTTTAACATCCCTATGGCAAAGTAATATGCCGAGTAATATGCAACAAGAATGATTAAAGGTCTAGAAGACAGGAGCTATGAGGGAAGACTGAAAGAACTGGGCTTGTTTAGTCTGGAAAAGAGAAGACTGAGAGGGGACATGATAGCAGTTTTCAAGTATCTAAAAGGATTTTATAAGCAGGAGGGAGAAAAAAAATTCTCCTTGGCCTCTGAGGATAGAATAAGAAGCAATGGGCTTAAATTGCAGCAAGGGAGGTTTAGGTTGGACATCAGGAAAAACTTCCTGCCTGTCAGGGTGGTTAAATGCTGGAATAAATTGCCTAAGGGGGTTGTGGAATCTCCATTACTGAAGATATTTAAGAGCAGGTTAGACAGACACCTGCCAGGGATGATCTAGACAGTTCTTGATCCTGTTGTGAAGGCAGGGGACTGGACTCAATGACGTCTCGAGGTCCATTCCAGTTCCAATGTTCTGTGATTCTATGATAATGTCACTTGCACTAAGCTGACATTCACCGAGTATGTGGGGAATGTGAGAAACCTGCTAGTGAGTAGGAGACAGCCTGATTTGTTTGCACAGGGAGAGGGAGTATTTCATACATTTCTGAAGAATAAAAGCCTCTGTTTAAAAAAAAAATGTGTAAGCTTTAGAGCTGCAAAGATAACCTTTCAAATGTAGCCTGATGCAGCGCTGCTTTCCTCAGCCTGCAGACCCACAGTCTAAGAGCCTCTGCGGCTATTCATAGCCTTTTCCTAGGCAACAGCAGTGTGAAACTGACACAATTTTTGATACTCCTGACCCCTGCCCACAAGGTTCTGAGCAGCTGCCTGAAACTTACCAACCTCTTGTCCATTTCACTCAGCTGCTTGGAAAAGCTCTGAGCAGTGGTGGAAGAGACTTGGGAGCTATTCACAAAGGAGAGACAGAGGCCAAACCCTCTCCCTGACATGGGAAGAGAGAGAGGGAGGGAACATCCTGCCAAATTCTAACAGCCTAAGAGAAGCTTCTAATGTAGCGAATCTGTGCACCTGCGGCTGATAGGCCCAGGGAGGAATCCCAGGACTTTCTTTGCCATTTCAGTCATAGAGGATTTGGGGTAGTAGTTTGCGGGACAATGGGCTTCTTCCCAGGCTCAAGCCTCTGAACACAGCTGGTGTGGTTCCCCCTTTTATCTCTCCCATCAGCCTCTGGCTAGTAGCTGTCTGGTAAACATTCCCAGGGACTGTGACCACAGCAGTGGGGGCAGCCTGGAGTTATAAACTTCAGCTTCTAAATATGTGTAGGCGTAGCTTCATGCACTGGGGTGTGCCACAGCATGTGCCTCCCCTGTTCAGAGGCCACCGGCAGTCAGTGCAGGCTGATGTCGTTCTTAAGGCTGCCCTGACTTCTGCTTTTTCTTCAAAGGACCGTGTGGGATTTTTTGCAGAGGTGCAGAATAATGGAGGCATAAGATCCTAGCCTCGAACAATCCTGTGCCTGTGGAGGTAGCAGAGAGCTATTAGCCTTGTGCTGGCCATAGGAGACATTTCCAGGGTGGAGGGAGTCCGTGTTGCTTCCCAGCAACCTCTTTCTACCACTAGGACTTAGGTAAAAAGGCGTTAGCACTGCGAGGAATCAGGCCCATATCCAATGTTCCCCCGCTTTTTCCCACCCATGTGCAGAATGCATTTTGTTACATGCACTGAGACACGTGTGGATGTGCACCACCAGTAGAAACATGTGCTTCTGGCTGTGGGCAGTGTGGAAGCTCTGCTAATCAGCTGGGCAGCATTTGAATCTCTCCTGGGTGGCCAGCCAAGCACTCAACTTACATGGAAACCCTTGGGACCCCCAGGTTTGAATCCTGACAGAGTGTTCCCTCTTAAAAGTTGTGGTCCTGTCTGCCGTGCATGTCACATCACCACGGGTGGCAATGGGGAGAAGGGGGGAGTGCTGTCCCTTAGAGAAGGGATTTTCCTCAAGGGGCCTCGAGAGGTCATCGAGTCCAGTCCCCTGCCCTCATGGCAGGACCAAATACTGTCTAGACCATCCCTGACAGGCATCTCCTCACTTTGATGCACCCGCTGGTGTCTTTCCTTTCTAGGGTCACCAAACACAACCCTCCAGGTGCACGTGCTCTGCCTTAGCTTGGGCTACTTCCTCTTTGACCTGGGCTGGTGCGTATACTTCCAGGCAGAGGGGGCACTGATGCTGGCCCATCACACGGTGAGCATCTTGGGAATCGCGGTGTCTCTGTCCCTGGGTGAGTCGGCCGCTGAAGTCAACGCCGTCCTCTTCGGCAGCGAGATCACCAACCCGTTGCTGCAGGCCCGCTGGTTCCTGCGGGAGACAGGACTGTACCACAGCTTCACGGGGGACGTGGTGGATTTCTTCTTCGTGGCCCTCTTCACGGGCGTGCGGATCGGGGTCGGGGCCTGGCTGATGTACTGCGAACTTGTGTCACCCACACCCAGGTGGTTCATCAAGGTGGGAGGAGTGATCATGTATGTGGTTTCCTGGGTTTTCATGGTCAGCATTTGCCGCTTTGCTAGGAGGAAAAGCATGAAGAAATACCATGCCTGGCGAAGCAGGAGGAGCGAGGAGCTGTACTCGGAAAAAAATGGTCATCTGAAGAGTCATTAAGCATCGGGACTTCCAAGTTCATTGCTGGGATAATGCTGTGGATGCCGTAGGTGCAGTAGGTCTGGGGTACAGTACCTGGAAGAGACTGGATCAGAGGGGTGTATGTAGATGTACAGCAAGCTTTGTGAGTCAGGAAAGGGCTTAATTTACAATTAAAGCTGCAGCATAGATATAAATAATGGAATTAGTGGCTGCCTCCTTCAGCATTAACATAATCTTGAAGGAGATAAGATCTAGCACTAGATCTCAATGTACTGTCCGGTGCAGGCACCTAGTGTGGCTCCGATTCCCTGTTCCGAAGAGGTGTGGTCCAGTGGTTGGTGTAGGCAAAGTAGGAGTCAGGATTCCTGGCTCCCTGCCACGGACTCTCAACTTAGCTCTTTTCATGCCTCAATCCCCTCGTCTGTAAAATGGGAATAATGAGGCCAAACCACCTCTGTCAAGCACTTTCAGTTCCTTGGATGAAAGGGATTCTATACATGCAAAATGTAGTACAGGTTGAACCTCTCTAGTCCGATGCCCTTGGGACCCGACCAATGCTGAACCAGAGAATTTGCCGAATTGCAGGAGATCAGTATTGTCTAGCAGCATTACCAACATTTCCACTGCTCACTGGGCTCTTAGAAGACATTTAGGGGCAAATTAGAGCTAAATAACAGCACAGAACACTGAGAGCCAGGACGGCTGGAAACAAACTTTATGGGACCACAAGAAACTTGGCCACACCCCTGCTAAGTGAACACCCGGCTAACTAACATCATGCCGGACCATGGGGTTGCCAGACAAGAGTGTGGGCCTAGCGATGTTCAACCTGTAGTTATTTATTATTATCTTAGCATTTCCTTTGGAAGAGAGAAGCTTGGTGATTGAGTCAGAATGCAAGTGCAGGGAAGATAGCAGGTAAATCCGTATTCCTTTTCTGCTGGAGGACCGTGTGGGATTTTTTGCAGAGGTGCAGAATAATGGAGGCATAAGATCCTAGCCTCGAACAATCCTGTGCCTGTGGAGGTAGCAGAGAGCTATTAGCCTTGTGCTGGCCATAGGAGACATTTCCAGGGTGGAGGGAGTCCGTGTTGCTTCCCAGCAACCTCTTTCTACCACTAGGACTTAGGTAAAAAGGCGTTAGCACTGCGAGGAATCAGGCCCATATCCAATGTTCCCCCGCTTTTTCCCACCCATGTGCAGAATGCATTTTGTTACATGCACTGAGACACGTGTGGATGTGCACCACCAGTAGAAACATGTGCTTCTGGCTGTGGGCAGTGTGGAAGCTCTGCTAATCAGCTGGGCAGCATTTGAATCTCTCCTGGGTGGCCAGCCAAGCACTCAACTTACATGGAAACCCTTGGGACCCCCAGGTTTGAATCCTGACAGAGTGTTCCCTCTTAAAAGTTGTGGTCCTGTCTGCCGTGCATGTCACATCACCACGGGTGGCAATGGGGAGAAGGGGGGAGTGCTGTCCCTTAGAGAAGGGATTTTCCTCCCCACTCACTGCAGTATTATGTGCCAGTGTCTATTTGGCTTCTGCCTGAACATACCAGGCCTTGGTATATTTGGTAGGGAAGCAAATCATTGGGAAGGGGTGGGCGGGGGGGCTTTGTGATGCTCCATGGGCTCCTTTGGGATGGGATGCATGC